TGTCCCCTCGGGAGTTCGGCTGGGAGACCAGGAGTTCGATGGCTCACTATGATGTGCACTGATCACCAGGGGATGGTATGGAATGAAGGCCCTGGCCGGCAGCCAGAAGGCAGCGAAGGAAGGCCATGGCCGGCAGCCGGAAGGCCCTAATCAACCCTGGTCGCTGGCCAGGCTTAGGAACCCTACTCATGCATGAATTTTGTGCATCAGGCCTCTAGTGTTTAATAACGTGCACCAGACACTAAGAAAACACGTTGTCTTTGCAGCCCAAAGCTGACTCAGCACGAAAGCGGCAAACCCCATCTCCATGCCCGGAGCCCCGCCCCCGCCGCACCAGTGGCTCCACCACCTGCTGGCCTCCCCTCTCTGTTCTCAGCAGCAGCTAAGGGTGCTACCAGCTGCCTTCCTCCCTGGCCTGGGCCAATTCAAGAGGTAGACGCAGTCCTGGCGTAATAGCTGCGAGGGGAATGCAGGAGCAGTCTCTGCTGCTGCACCAGGTGACGGGAAGCGAGCAGCTCCTCGTGTGCCCTTGGCTTTGCTGTGTCCGGAGCTGCAGAGGGCAGGCGGGTGTGTCTGTGGTTCTCAGGGACATCCGGTGCCCTCTGAGGCGGGGGGATGGGATGGTGGGGGTCACGTGGAAGGAGACAACCTTGAAGCCGAGCCCAGGCTCCGCTGTCCGGGGCTGGTGGGCCCTTCGGCGTCTCCCTTCGGGTGTTGCAGGAGAAAGAGGGATGGAGGGGAGAAGGAGAATGCTCTCTTGGCGTGCGGGAGGACACACTCCGTGCTTTCCCAGCTCTGTGCTGGCCGAGTCACCCCAGTGGGTTTCTCTCTTCCTAGATTTCATGGTCCAGCATCCTGTTCACTGTACGTGTGCCCCAAACTCTGCTGGAGCCCAATCTTCACCATGAGGCAAGTCTGTCCCAACTTGGCCACCTTCCTGGCATTCAGCTCAAATTGATACTTTGGGGGACTTCCTGCTGTTTCAAAGGGACTTTTCCCACAGACAGCCACCACGGAGGATGGATGTCCCAGCCCCGTTCCCTGCCACTGACACAGCAGGCAACCGCACCCCCACCCGTCTTCCCACCGGCTGCGCCAGCTGCTCACCCTCACCCGCCACCCCCTCGCCCCAGGAGACAGCTGGGATCAGCCCCTTGGTCTGAGTGGTGGTTGCATCTTTAAGAAGAAACCGGCTTCCAAATCTAAAACTACCTTTATTTGTGGTTGGCTCAACATAAGACGCCATCAATCAGCAGAATTATAAAACTGTACAGGAGGTACAAAAATAGGCCATTTAACTTATATAATTACCCTCACATCATCAAGCTTTAAAAATACACATAAAAATTGTACAATCTGGCAGTTTATAAAATATAAAGCTAAAAAGGAGGATTTTAGGCTCCACAACGAGGATTGTTTCACATAATTAACACGCATTTAACAAGTAACCATCCATAGAGAAGACGCGATGGCACAGAATTTTTTAAATCACTTAGAAATTAACATTTTTACCACGACCAAATTATTCACCCTTTCCTACCAAAGCTACTGTAAGGCATCCATCCCGCGGAAGGATACAGTATAACTTTTCCTTTTCCAGTTTTAAAAATGGTCAGGGGTGTTGTCCAAAACAAATCGTCTATGCTTTTAAGCAAGTGCAATTGTAACTGGGGTATACTTCGGAGTAAAAATTAAATAAATATAAATAGGTTAAATAAATAGGTCATTGCAAAAAAGAACACTACATAAGGTTTGCATCTGAGAATGTGGCTGAGTTGACTGGTAATGCTTTCCAGGTAGTGGGGACACCCCCGTCACAGCTTCTGGGATTCTGAAAAGGAACACTGCACCCACCGCGCGCGGAGAGCTCGGGAGGCGGGCTGGGGCCGGGGGCCGGGGCTGTGGGTTAAGGCTGCCCCGGAGGGAGGCTCACTGCGGACGGTTCTGGGGTTCCCCAATGAACAGGAGAGGTTTAAGTGCTGCTACGCTCAGAACCGGAGTCACGCAGGGGAAATAAATCACTGTTCCTTACAGGAAGTACAGAGAGGACAGAGGCTTTGGTTTCCCTGGAAGGAGGAAGTGTGGCTTATCTGGAGGGGACACAGCGACTTCCTGGGAAAGGCTGCAGTCGGGCACACGCATCTGGACGACGCCAGGCCGGTGCGGGGATGGCCAGGGCAATGACGCCGGGAGGGAGGAAGGAAAGGGGTTTCAGACACTGAGAGAAAGCTAAAGAGGGGGGGAAGGGCTCTCGACAGGGTGCTGGGCTTGCTCCTTCTGCATGGAGGGCTGCGGACGCGGAGCCAGCCCACGTCCGCAGGAGCCAGCCAGGAACCAGCCAATGAGCAGATGGAGAACGGGAACGGTCCTGGGAAACCCAAAGGACTGGGAGGCTGGCCAGAGTCCAGCTTCTGAAACGACAGCGGCCAAGAGGAGAAAGCACGGCGACCCCAAGGCCCCCACCCACGTCAGCGCGAGGTCAGATCGGCGGCCAAGTCACCTTCTACTGCCACGAGGCCGAGTCACGCCCACAAAGCCTTAGTGGGAGGACCAGGGTAAATGCTGATAGGACCCTCTTGATGGGAAGAAAATACTTTGCTGGACTCGCTGGCCTGCAGCTCTTCCGATACAACACAGGCAGTGGGTCCGAGTGCCGTCTCGCCACAAAGAGCTTACGGCGACCATCGCACTGTGACGGAGAGGGGACACCTCTGCGCCCAGGATTTTGTACATCGGCGCCTCGCTGGTTTAGTGACTCATCCAGTGACACCAGTGAGTCCCCAAGTGCCAAGGCTCGGATGCCTAGTGACATGTGGAGTCTTTATAAAATGAAGTTAAAAAGCTCAAGAAGCAATCAGAGGACAGGGTTGTAAAAATAAAACCGAATACTTCTAAAAAGCCCAGCAGCTTCGAGGACTCGTACTCCAGGTCCCACAGCTCAGCAGCTCAGCAGGTTCTAGAGGCTGAGACGGGATCTACCACAGGATGTTTTCATGGCAAGCGTCCACGCAAGACCTCTGCAGGCCCCAGCAGGCCAGGATCCCGAAGGTGATGGAGAGAAGATGGACAGAGAGCAATCTGACCTGTTCCGAGGGGTCCGGGCGCTTTAAGACTGGAAAGGTACAAACCCCAAATGCACGCCCTTCCCCACCCCTGGGCTCCTGCATGCGCTGACCTTAACTGGTCGTTGCTCTCACCACAGGCTCCTGAGAGCACGGGTTCTGACTATCTTGTCCCTCTCTCTGTCCCCAGCAAACGGCGTATCACTGAGTCTGAGTTGGGTGGTTAGAAACAAGTATGATCAGCAGAAAAGGCATTTTAGAAAGAAGTTGTCCTGGAGGCGAGTTGAGCCAAAACGGAGAGAAGACAAGTACTGGGCGGCTAGAAAGGACCTGGCTACTCCGCCAAGAGAACGCCCAGCAGAGCGCGGGCAGCCGGAGGTCACTCGTGCACCCCTCCGCCTGGCCCTCGAGCTGGTGGAGTGACCCTGGAGCGGAGCTGGCACAGGCCAATGAGAGCGGGGAGAACCACCCGGCTGGCTGTCCTCCTGAAAAACCAAAGACGCCAGGTCCCCGGGTGGGAATGAGGTAACTGGTGAGCTTCACAGAGGCAGGGCACTATTTGAGAGAACAAGTGACCGCAGGATCAGGAAAGGGAACGGAAGGCTGCAGAGGCAGAGCCTTTGCTGCATGGACGTGGCACATAAGAAACAGTGGCTTCCCGTCAGCCAGTGAACGCCATGGCCACATGCGCACTCCCCGCGGAGTCTCCGCGTCCACAGGACGGAACCGCACGCACGCTCCCGGCCGGAGCACGTACACAGGAAACGCTTCCTCACGTGGTATCCTCACTGCGTGCAACCACTAAGGCTCTGGGTGGAGAAAAGACAGAAACTGACTAAAACGAAAATTAAAAATTACATTAAATTGAGGGGGAGAAATGACATGGCTTTGGCGGTTTAGGGAATATCACTTTGAGGACGACCTGTGTGTATAGTGACGCAGTAATGCTTGTAGAACGTTCTGAATATGAACACTCTTCCTGGCCAAGGGGGGGGTGGGTACCACACACAACAGATGTATTGCGTTTTTTCATGAGCAAGCTTCACGTGACGCTTAGCTCACTTGTGCTAATGTAGCGTTCTACAGTGTGATCAAACTATAAAGTTATTAAAATCTGCCAAGAGAAACAAAGTCCTGCCCACGAGGTACGCGGGGAGCCTGGCCTTGGCCACCAAGCCCCTGGCCATCCCGCTGGCTCCAGGGACAGAGAGGCCTCATCGCCTGCCCTCTGAGTGGCCAGGTAGGCCCGTGACCCTCCGGTCCCGAAGGTCTGTCCCTGCCTGGGTCCTTGTGGCCAGGGAAGTATCACTTCTTGCCCCCAGACGCTCCTAAACATTTCTAAATGGTCCAGGCCACAAAGCCACCACAAGCCACCACAGAGGCTGCAGCTGCCTGGGAACCGAGCGTCCCCTCCATTTCCGACACTGGCGGCCGTGGCCTCCTTTTCCAGCGTGCGCTGACCTGTCCCGACACCACACCCACTGCCCCGGGCAGCACTGGTCTAGGGACCTGGGATGCGTGGGCGCTGTGCTTGGTGACTGGTGGCCTCTGTCCCTCCGTCAGCGCCCCTCAGCCTGCCGGCCGGGGGGAGCAGCTTCGGGGCCCTGCACCCAGGCAGAGCTTAGGATTTCTTCCTCCCGCTTCCTTCAAGGCCTACGGGCTGATGTCGAACAGGAAGCTTAAAAAGAAACATGTCTGAAGCCAGTCTATCCAGGAGGAGGTGGAGACGCTCTGCTGCGCCCTTCCTGCAGCTGTTCCCTGGAGTGAAGCTTTCACCCCGTCTTCCCAGCTTCCTGCAGGTCAGGAGGGGCCACCTCTCCTGTCTAGGGTCAGACCCTCCTCTGCCAGCTGCAGAGCAGGCGGCTCAAGGCACTGGTTTGGGAGCCTGGTCTTCTTGCTAAGCACGGCCTCAGGCCCTGGATTGCAGTCATGGGGCGCTCAGTCACAGCTGGGGCCACAGGACGGAGTCCGGTCTGACTCGGGGGCGTCCGGAGTCACGGGGCGCCGAGGCCCGGGGGGCGGGTGGAAGTAGTAGGGCTGGAAGAGCCTCTCGTGGCTGCACAGCTCCATGGCCCGGTAGGTGTGGGAGAGCAGGTGGGGGAAGCGCGACGTGAAGTAGCGCACGAAGTCGTCGGGGAGGGAGCCCAGGGTCTCCCGCACCTCCGCGGGGAGCTCCCGGTAGTGGTGCTTCTGCAACGGGGCGGACACAGAAAGGGCGGTCAGTGAGAGCCCAAGAAACGCTGGCCAGAGATCCTTCTATATCTCCAGGAAGAAAATGTTAACTACTTCTCTGCAAAGGAAAGGGGGAAGTTCTAAGCAGCCCACCATCCATCCTGCTCACCATGGCTGCCTCCCCTCACTCGGAGGAGATCGGAGCTGAGCAAGGCCCCACATGGGGACCTAGCGAGGCCCCTGGCAGCCTCAAGAGGAATAAAGGCGCCTGGAACTGAAGTGTCTGTACCAACGGGCTAGGAGGCCTCGTCTGGGCCTGGCCCTGTTTGAAGACTGCTCAGTGACAGCTCAGGGAAAGATACTCCAGGTCCCTACAGAAAACAAGGGGGGCCCTGCCCCAGGGCCCTGAAGACAGGCCGGTGTGGGAAGTGCCCAGAGGGTCCTGTAGGGGTTGATATGATGCTGGATCGGGCAGGCAGCGGGCGCCGCACAGTCAGCGGAGACCACAAAGGACGCCGGCAGCAGAGCCTGCTTCCCAGGCAGGCTGCTCACCTCGAGGTCCCCGAAGACAAAGCCCGTCTACGGGAAGCAAGCCCCTGGTTTGCCAGGTCTGGCTAAGGCCGCCCAGCTCTGCGAGGTCAGAATCCCAGGCCGGGTGAAGGGATGTGGAGAGAACGGATAGGAGGAGAGGGTGGCTAAGTGGCTGGTTCGCAGCCCTCACCTTGTTTCTCATGGCTCGGAGGAGATCTCTGACGGAGCCACCTTTGTAGGTTCTGAATTTACGCAGATCTAGGAAAAAGATAAGCAATGCAACGTAACGAACACTTTTCACAAGAAAACAATTTCTGAGGCTCCTGGGGACTAAGCGATCGGACTGAAACAACGTAACTGCACTCTGATCGAACCCGGGCCTGCCTGTCTGCATCCCACCGGCCGCTCACACCGTGACCAGAGGCAAACAGCCCCCACCACTGACTTGTCACCCAGACAACAACGAAACACACTGGTGTAACGGTCTGACATGTCACTAAACCACTGACGACGCCCACAGGAAGCCTCCACCCGGTAGGTGGTGCGTGGAGCCCAAACAGTCTGGGGCTGCCACTCCCATGCTTGTTCTCAGCACCGGCTGCAGCTCCGGCACATCTGAACTCACCTGTCTGGAGGGGGACGGTGATGTTCTCCCTCCAGTCCATCTTCACCACGGCCCGCCCGCCTCTCTCCAGCTGCTTCACGATCGGGCCGTCCAGGGCCTCCTTCTCTATCCGGTCACTCACGTCCTGTAGGGAGACGGGGCCGCAGATGGTGGTCAGTGTGGAGGGAAGCCGAGCGCTGGAGGATCACCACCCAGGCAGAGCGGCCACTGCCTCCGGAGTCCTGAGCGGGGCTGAAGCCGGCCTCCGGGCTGGGCAGCTGGACTTCCGCCTCCCCCACCCCCGGAGTCCTGAGCGGGGCTGAAGCCGGCCTCCGGGCTGGGCAGCTGGACTTCCGCCTCCCCCACCCCCGTGAGGTAACTTTCCCCTGGGAGTGGCCATGTCTGTTGCTCACTACAGAGAGGCCCACACGGTCTGTCTCCACGACAGAGCGATGACACAGATCCCACCTGAGCACCTCACCTGCATTGAAACACATCACCTTCCCCAAAGCCACCTGGCAGCACCAGGAGGCCTCAAAACAGCCAGATTTCTAAAGGAGTTCATGTCCACTGATCCTGTCATTTACCTCTCAGAATCTATCCTAAGAGCTGTGCAAACAAACAAATAAACCAAAACCCAATATAAGGAGATGTTTAAATCTGCGAAACTCGAGTGAAATTATATGACGCTGAGGTTTGTTTCAAAATATTTTCCAGGTGGAGTGGAGAGAGGGCCAAGCTGAGTTAACAACTGCTGGACCCGGCTGATGGCTAACTGGGAGTTATATTCCCTCTACTCTTTGTGCATCTGAAAGCTGCCATAACATAAAGTTTTTAAATGATGGCACACACATATGATAGGATGCAACAGTCATTAGAACTTTAGAGACGTAACATAAAAAAATACTTAAAATAGTATATATAGTTAAAAAAAAAAAAAAAAAAAACAAGCTACAAAACTGTATATATAGCTTGATCCTGATCACACTTTAATTTTATGAAGAAAATATATTAAGAGGCCAGGCCGGGTGGCCTCTAGGTACAGGGTCGGGGTCGTGTGTCTCACTCCTTGTCTGCTGCCCTCTCGGCGCCTGGCGAGGCCACCGCGGTCTGGCGGGGCGGGGCGGGGCGGGGCGGGCCCACCTGGAAGAACTGCAGCTGCTTCTCGAGGCTCCAGAAGAAGGGGTGCTTCAGCACGTGCTTCGCGGACGGGCGCTTCTGGGGGTCCATGGAGATCATCTTCTCGATCAGCTCCCGGGCGATGACGTCCTCTGCAGGACAAGCACAGGCCGAACGTATCACCACCAGCCCAGCGTCACGGGGGACCACCCACCTGAACCGGCCGCACGCCCTCAGACTCAAGGCTCCATGGACAGGAGTCGGTCTGTGACGTAATGAAGAGCTTTCCCGGGAATCGGCATGATGCTGGATCGGGTAAGGAGAGTCCTCATCACAGGGTGCGAAAAGGGCTGGAAATACCCACTCAGAGGCTCGGTGATGGCCACGCCGCTACCCTGAACTGGGGGCCATAAGGATGATGCCCCGGCTGAACACGGGTCGACACGCAGAGTTAAGGTGAAGCTAAGAATCGAGCATGTTGCAAAATGATATGTACCTAGGCACATGTGTCTAGATAGATGACCAGAATAATATATACAAAGGTGTCATCAGCAGTCACTCATCACCATATAATAGAATCATGGGCCTTAACCAAAGGTTAACAGGGAATAAGGGAAATTAATCCATAAGCAAAAAGCTAAGTTAGTTTTTAATTTTAAAAAAGTTAAAGGCTTTTTTAAGAACTGGGTGTTGTGGGTGAACTATAACACAGAAAAGCCTGAGGTCAGGAAGACTTGCACCCATGCCTGGGAGTGAGGACCCAGCCTGCCTGTCCCCGCCTGCAGCCACTGGCCATGCTGACCACGGGCGCAGGCCAGAGCCAGGCCAGCGTATGACTTCCGAACGCTGGTGTGGGAAAAACCTCAGATTATATAACCCTCACCAGTCCCGAGCCGGAGAACACAGGTCCCCACGGTAACTGGGGGACCTGACGGAAACTCAGCTTCTCGGCTCTCGAAGGAGGTGCAGCAGGAACAGCCCCTCCAGCCACAGGGGGCCCGGGGAGGACCCCTGGGCACAGAGCTGGCACCACCCAGCGCAGGGGTGTCTGGCAGGTGAGGAGCGGCTCCTTCCCCGCACCCCTGTGGCCCGCTCACCGTGCTTCTCGGGCTGCAGGCAGTCGAGGCTGTAGGCGCCCAGGAGGATGTTGGCCTGTCGCTGCAGGGACTTGCCGAAGGGGTGGCTGCCCTCAGAAACCACGTAGTAGAACACGCAGCCCGCGGAGAAGATGTCCACCGTGTAGGTCTGGAAAGAAGCGCGGGTGTGAGAGGCCTTCTGGGAGCCCCCCCCCAGCAGCAGGGGAGTGTGGCTGCCTCTCCCTCCATGTCCTGGAGGACGGGGTGACGTCTGGGAATTGCTGGGAGCAGTGCTGGGCCCCTGCGGGGGCCACTTGGGTGGCGTGTTCACCTTGAGACATGGACTCTGGGGCCGACTTCCGGGAGCCGGCTCTGCCACTGGCCAGCCGGAAGCCCCGCGGCTGCTCTGTGCCTCATGTCCTCCGATGGAAAAAGGAGAGAACATGCGATGTCCCTCAGGTGGTTGTGAAGATTAAGGGCACTGATATGTGAAAACTCACCTAGACTGGTGTATGGCCCCAGGAAGCTGTCCCCTAGCCCTCAGCTACTCTTTACCAGGCCAGCAGGGGGCTCCCTGGAGGCGGGGATTTCTGTGCCTTTGCTGCCCGATGTGCCCCGGGGCCTGCTTACGTTAGGCTTTAAAACTTAGCTAATAAAGGAATAAAACATTTGCTGCTTCAAAAACAGCCCCAGAGAGAAACTGTGACAACTTTCCAGGAAGGTCATTGTGATGTCACGCCTCTCACTTATGCCACAAACTCTGTGTCTGGGGGACTTTTGGAAACGTGTGGTTTCCAGCCTGCGCTACTTGGATGTAACACTAGGTGGCTCCCGAGCATGGCCTGCGGCCAGGCTGCCCACTGTGATTCTCCAGCAGACACGGGAGGACCAGGGAGAGAAACCCAGGAGCCGTCACCTTCCACTCTGGGGAAAATACTCCTGTAACAACAATGACCTGTTGTCCACCCTCAGCACAGCCCTGCGAGGTGAGCACAGCGAATGTGGGCAGAGAGGTCCAATGGGGACCAGGACAAGCTTGTCCTATTCAAGGATGAGACTCAGGTCTTCCAATTCCCAGGCCCGACCATCTTTGTCTCATCAGGATTGTCCTCACGGGGGTGACAGATTCGGCACAGAGGAGCAAGTCCACCACAGCTGAAGCTCTCACCTGTCGCTTCACCTGCTCGGTATCATTCAAGCTCCCCATCTGCCACAGCCTGCGCTGCCTGGCACCCCCATACACTCAACACTGATGCCGGGGCCTCTTGTCCTACACGCCCGGGTGCCCTGCTCAGCTATGTTCTTTCCAAACTTATTATTGCCACTTGCTCTTTAATTAAATATTCCATAAGCTGGGAAACGTGACTGCCACCAAGTTTGAGGTGAGCTGAGTTTGTGAAGATCCAATAAAGGGGAGTGGCTACATAATCCTATGAATTAGATGTGGGAGACTCCCACTGTAAGGGATTGGAGCATAGTTAGCTAGGATTCTGCCCTTAGGACGGTGTGAGATGTCTAGATCTCAAAGTAGGAGGCGCAGAAGGGGCATGTGAGGTCTTTATACAGGAGAGGAAATGAAAACTCCATTCAGTTGGACTGGAATGCGAAGAAAAAAAACCCTACATCAAGGATTCCTATCCTTAAGGAGTCACAGTGCCTGCTTTAAGTTAAAGTATGATGAATTTCCTCATGACTCTTCACCATAACTGACCTCTTTGACTCACTGACCAGCTGCTGGTCCCCCGGGAATGGGGTAAGAGGGCTCGACGGAATCTCATCTATATCATACTGGCTGATCCCACCGGGGTCTGGATCAGGGGCGTGTGGGATAAAGGTGCCGAGACACGAATGGGCTCTCAGCAAAAGGATGAAGAAGCCAGCAGGAGGGCTCCGGTTGAACCAATCTGGAACAATTTCAGTGTCAAAAGCAGAAACAAAAGAAAAAAGAATAGGGAAAAAAAGGGACTATAATGGATTATAACACTATTTTAAAAATCCATAAATTCATAGTAAAAAAAAAAAAGAGATAGAGAGAAAGGGGATCAGAAATAAAACTTTTTTATAGAAATATGTCAGCTAGTAAATGCAGAATTCCCACTGAGTGAAGGAATTCCGGGAGGGACTGTCAATTCTGCGGTGCCATTGGGTGAATGACTGTTGGGAAAGAGGATACCATCCACGCTGCCAAACATGGCCCCTCAGGGAACTAACAACAAAGAGGAAAACGTGGTGGAGAGAAAGGCAGGCGCCACCTGTGCCGAGTGAGCCACGCTGGCATCACTAGCAGGGGTCCAGTACCAACGATACAACCTGCCATGTGGTGCCTCCTGAGGCTGTGTCCTGTGATGGTTGCTTCAGAACATCTGCCTTTAATCCAATCGGTCCCTTGGACCTATTTTTAGTTCACCGGGAATACAAGGACTGGACCGGTGAGTGACACACCACTATGAGGAAACGAGTGAGCAAGCCCAAATGGGTCAAATGCCACTAGAGGACGAAAGCAGATTAAAGGGGAGAGTGTCACATGCAATGCAAGGCACCTGACTGGATCCTGGTTTACAAATACCTGCTCTGTGAGCGGGCAATGTGAATACAGACTGAGTGTCCAACGTCAAACGTTAACTGTTGAGGTGTGAATGATATAAAGGTTAGGACTGTGCTTGCTCTTGGGAGACAGCTGCGAGGGTATTTATGGGTGAAGGACTGGGATGCTTCCCTTTTATAGTCACATGGTTCAGCAACAGAGAGAAAGTGAAAAATAATTAACAAATGTTGAATCTGGACGGAGGTACAGAGGTATTTTCTGCACCTCTTAAAAATTCTCAAAATAAAAAGTTGGGAGAACAAAAACAAAGACAAAACAAATGGAAGTTTGTTCACCTAGTGGAAGCTCTGAGTTCCCACATACGGGGAAGTGGCTGGGGAAGGAGGGGAAAACCAGACACTTGCTCCCGTTCGCCCCTTTCGTTCATCTGGTCATGAGGCGACGCGAAGGGCCAGCAGCGTGTGTTAATCACGCGTCGCTGCCCTCCAACCCTGACAGGAGGCTCTTCGTCTTGGAGGTACAGGAGGCTGCAGTCTCCAAAGGCCTGTGCTCGGTACTCACCGGGTTCTCCTTGCAGTCCTCACTCAGCATCTCCGGGGCGATCCAGCCTTCGGTGCCGGGCACCCCCGAGCGGCGGCTGAAGCTGTGCCTGCCCACTGCCAGCTTCTTGCAGAGGCCGAAGTCGGAGATCATGGCCTTGATCCTGCCATGAGCATTGGGCATGGAGAGGAGGATGTTGTGGGGTTTCAGGTCTCTGTGAACTAACACAAAACTCCGGATGAGTCCAATGCAAACCAGGAGCAACATCGGGCCTCCTGCGATGCGAGTGCACCCTCTTCAGACTGCCAAGCGCCCTGCCACCTCCAAAGGTTTCAACTGCGTAAGAACCCTCCTGAGATCCTTCCACAGCGTGCACACCAGCCATGCAGCAGAGAGCTTAGCAGAGCAGGCCCACCCGGGCAAGCCGGTCACCCCACCCGGCCGCCTGATGGAGGGAAGCTCTCACCGATGTTGAGCGAGTGCAGGTGGGCCAGGCCGGAGGTGGTCTGCTGCAGCAAGGCGATGGGCTCCAGGCCGAGGTGGGCGAAGTCCTTCTGCTCCACGTACTGCGAGAGACACCAAGGCCAGGTCGTGGCTCAGCCCCAGGACTCGGCCCCTCGGGGCATTCTCCTCTTTCTCTTTTTAACGTGATTCAATTTTATTGAGAAAAATCCTGCCTCCAGCCTTTGGCTTTAGCATTTGGTACTGAGTCAGCTCCTTTTCTTTGATCGTATCTTAAGAAAGAAAAGTTTTACTGACAATATTCTGTCCAAATCCTTATTTTTCCAAAGACCTTCTCAAAGAATAGACTAATTTAGACAAACAAACAAGCCCCAACTTACTAGTTTCCAGTGGGAAAGATAAGAGGGGAAGACACTCAAGCTCACTGCCTCATACAGGTAAACCTACGCGTGAATGAGAGTTTCACCGTGTGCTGGAAACCGAGCAAAAGGAATTATGATCCTAATGGCTCGAGTCATTAAGAAGCATCCTCCAAGTCTACACCAGCCCTGGGACCAGGACCGGCCAGGTATTCTAGAGGCCAAGAGGCAGACGGATGCTAACCACAGATTGCCCCGGGAAGGCCGAGGGGACGCCCCAGTTCAAGGTGGGGTGATAAAATTGCTCCACATTGTGACTTTGTTTACATGGGCACGCAGCTTTGTCAAAATGCATCAAACTGTTTTAAATGAGTACGTACTATAACTTCAGTAAAGTTAATAAAAAGAAGTAAGAGCGACTTCGGCAGCCCTGAGACCGGGCCCCGGTGCCGGGGAGCTGCCGCGGGGACGGGCACCCACCTCCTGCAGCGTGGCGGCGCACAGCTCGATGGCGATGTACTGGAACTGCCGGTCCCTCTCGGTGCAGAAGTACCGGATCACGTTCGGGTGCTCGTCGGACTCCCGCAGCAGCTGCACCTCGCGGTCGGCGAAGCTGAAGCACTCGGGGAGGATCCTCTTGACCGCCACGTCACGGCTGTCGAACATGCCCCTGCAGGACAGGGAGCGGGGGCTGGGTTGGGCGGTGCAGTGGGGGCCGTGGACACGACCGGAGGCCGTGGACCACAGTGCTCCTCCCGCTCTGACACAGCGGCCACTCAGCTGCCTCACCGCCTGGGAGGCCCCGATCGCCCACCCGTGGTCGCCACTTCTCTCCCCGAGGCAGAACTCTTCCGTTGGAGTCATGGCCCTGACCCTGTCAGTCGCGGTGAAGGCACAGGGCTCTCCAACCCACTCACCGGTACACAATTGTGCCCTCCGCTCCGTGGCCCAGGACGTCCTTGGGGCAGAAAGAAATTTTCCCAACCATCACCATGTTGGTTTCCTCATCTGGGACAAAAAGGGGGAAAAGGAGGGCTGTGTTAAGCACACCTAACCCAAACCGGGAGGTTAGAATGGCTACCAGCTTCCTGAGCTCAGACTGAGACACGCATCTCAGACGCTCTACGCCTGTCCCCTCGTGAGAGCTGCTGGGCCCCCTCCCCATTCGCGCCCAGGGCCACCACGTCCCTGTCCCCTGCCCCGGTCCTGCGTCTGCACTGCTGTGAGAATGAACATCTTACACCTTCCCGAAGACAGGGGCTCGCTGCAGACCCGCCTCAAGGATTTGCACTGAAACACCCGGGGAGCCGCTGTGGATGTGACCTGGGGAGACCAGCTGCAGAGACTCCAGTGTGAGTCGAGGACTCTGAGGTCTCTTGTCCTGACACCGGCCTGAGCCACCGCCAAGGGAAAGGGGAACCACCAGCTGCACTTCCTTCCCTGGTCTCTGGCTCCTGGGAATGCTCTCAAGCCAGGGCCAGTGCACCTCTGCTCAGCAGTGATTCCCGTCCTTGTGGGGCATCCCAGGGGGCTCCCAGAAGGCCCTCCGAGAGGGGAGGCCACAGATGGGGCAGGACCCCGGCCCCAGAGTGGGAGGGACTCAGGTGAGAACATGTTGAACACTTGGGAGCCTCATAACCCCATGGACACTCCCAGGAGGGCCACGGTGCTGTGCCTCTCAGGTGACACTCAAATGAAAGAGAAAACGGCACCAAACGGCGACCGGCTTTACCCTCGTCGTCCTGCTCCAGGCAGGGGCTGGCGCCGGCCCTGGAGGCAGAGCCGCTGGAGTGCAGAGAGTGGTTGGAGGCTCGGGGGGACGTGCTGGGGCTGCTGGTGCCCGAGCTCTCCGAGTACAGGCCGGACGAGTCCTGGAGCTCGGCGTCCTGAGCCACGTCCCCTGGTGCGTGGAAGGGCAGCTGCTGCTGCAGGAGCTGCATTTTCTCCAGTTCCTGCTGGAACTGCTGGTGCTGGAGCTGCTGCTGCTGCTGCATGCTCTGGGAAGAGAAACACACATCTGGGGCCTGGGGGAGGCAGGGAGCGGCTCCCCGCGCCAGAGAAGCAAGTGAGCTTTACATGGCCCCACAGGGCGGAGGAGACGGTGGGAAGGCACAGGAGGAGGGTCCCTTCCACGGCTGGGGGTCTTCCCGCCAGTCAGACTTCCCAGGACAGCCCGTTCCTCCCACCGGAGGCTGGCGGCCCCCAGGCAGGGACAGCAGAGGTGGACCCACTTACACGAGTGGAAAGCACCCCCAAAGTAAAGGGTTCATATCCTATACGGGAATGAGCTTCCCGGGCACTGTGAGCTAAGGTAATTAACATTTCAGGGCTTGGAGCAACCTGGTGAAGGAATACTCCCCTCAGGTATACGGTACCCAATGCACGGCCTATGTGACTACGCGACTTTAGCTACTTATTTCTAACTAGAAAGCAGAAGGGATGACCAGACCACCTTTCTCACTCTCACTGATATCTCTAACAGCCGGTTTTTAGGGAAGAAAGTTAAAGGGATTTTCACCTGTAATGACTATTCTTAAAAAAGGAAAATGTAGTTAACTATTCAAATCAGTTTGCACAGTTAAACCATAAGATGTAGTTTCAAAAATCATCATTTTTTGAGAAGCCAGTGGCTCTCTAATTGCAATGTTTTTGAAGATTAGCAAAAGTTAACGTTTACATGTGAAAAGAAATGAATATGGTTGTTTGCCCTGTTTGCCCGGGCCTCACTGTCATCAGGTGACGGGCACAGAAGCTTGGAAACATCTGGGCGGGCCAAGGGGAGGGCCGGGCCTCACCAGGGGGTAGGTGATGATGAAGGCCACCCAGCCGATGAGCAGGAAGGTGCTCAGGATGATGGTGGCGATGTCCTTGAGCACGGAGTCCACAGGGGCCTCGGGCTTGGCGGGGGCGTGAGCGAACTTCTCCTCCACATCCTGAGAAACGGTGCTGGGCGCGTGGTCTGAAGTCTGGTCAACCAGGTGGATAACCTTGTGTGGGAGAGAGTGGCTACATCTCTGCAACTTTTCCAGCCAGACAAACGAGCCAATCAGGAGCAGCACTGTCTCTTCATAAGGACTATGTGACGTGTGCTGGATTTTTTAAGCCCTCCCAGAGAGCACAGGGCTGGACAACCACCGCCTTCCCCAAAGCGACTGCCTTGAGAATTACAGCTGTGATGGTGTCGTTACTCAGGCTCAGCAGCCATTGGACTCTGGTCTCCCGCTTCCTCTCTTTGTCTCCCCTCCGCTGCCAGGCTTGTCAAGGTTTGGCAACGTGGCTCTTCTGTAGCCAAGTGATCCCATTTCCCACTGGTCCCCACCTGGCAGCCTCAGGCCTGGCTCCTCAGCCCCTCAGCTGGCCACACAGGGCCAGCCTCACCTCCAGGCCTCACCTCTGCTCTCCTCCCTCCAGCGGCCCCTGCTACTGTCCCACCCTTCGGTCCCACTGCCCTTCTGCGGCTTTCGCTAATGGCCATCTCCTCCCTCCCCTCCGTCCCCACCAGCTGTGAGCTGCCGTGGATGCCCCAGTGGAGTCGACTGCGAGCCCTAAAGGCAAGCGCGATGCCTGTTCCCACCACCGACCCGATGAGCCCTAGCTGCTCCCCGCCCCACTCACGTCCTCAAAGCTCTTTTTCTCGGAGTCGGCAGGGATCACATTTTCCCGGTGTTTGGGCAGATTGTAGGGGAATCGCTCCAGCATCTTGGTAGACGCAGACAGCGGCGTTTCATGGTGCCCTGGGAGAGGAAAGAAAACTTTCATTTGAATAGCGACGAGGGGGTGGCAGCCCTCATGGCCCAGCTGAGGCAGCAGTCGCTGTCCACGGAGAGGCCTGCCGTGCACACATTCACATCTATAAAGGAAGAGCAAGAACACGAGGGTAGCTGCCAGGAATGTCTCATTAAGACAGAAGTTTTTCCCAGCTGGTGTGGCTCAGTGGTTGAGCATCCACCCATAAATCAGGAGGTCACCAGTTCATTCTGGGCCAGGGCACATGCAGCGTTGTGGGCATGCAGGAGGCAGTCAATTGACGTTTCTCTCTCATCAATGTTTCTATCTCCCTCCCATCCCTTCTCTCTAAAATCAATAAAACCGTTAAAAAAGAGAGAGAGAGAGAAAGAGAGAGAGAGAGAGAGAGACACACACACACATTTTGTTACTTAACGGCACATATCCAGTCTTCTGAATCTCATAACGAGGGGTGAGAAGTCTCCTTGTCAGGGGAGGAATTTGGGTGCTGGGATACGTTTCAGAGCAAGACCTGTGTGCGTGTTCCTAACAGGCTGTCCGCTGCTGAAGCGTTAGGAGCTTTGTTCGACGTCCAAGGAGCTCGCCCTTCCACGCTTACCCTGTCACCTCACTCCCCTGAGGGCAGCCACTTCCCATCTTGGTGAGGGGAAACCTTAGGAGCCCCTGTGCACTCTGGCACCCCCACCCCACCCACCACTGTGGCTGCATCCCCGCCTCTCACCACCTCCGGGGCTGGGAGGCAGCAGGATTGGGACACAGGCCGGGAAATTAGATTCAAGAAGACTCGGTCCTGCTGTAATTACTTGGGACACTTGCCAGAGACACAGCTCTCTCACCTCTACCCTCATCTGTCACACTCACTGCGTCTGGGTGTCATCTCGATGTCTTTCCTGGCTGGCTGACAGCAGAAGAGTGATGGCAGCAACAGCAGAAGAGAAGGAGAAGGGACTCCCCATATACTCCCAGGATTTCTGCCGTGGTTCCTGGACCAGGATCCAGCCTCTAACTCTTCACCTCCCTCAGTCCCTGCTGGTCTTCACCCCTTTCCTCCCCCCGCCTCCCTGCATCCTCTACCCCTCACCCACGCCAACTCCAAGTGAATTCTTCTATAGCAACCACTCGTTTCCTTAACTCTCAATGGAAGTAAAGTAACAGGGGTGCCTGTCTGTGGAAAATAGGAAATGCATTCTAAAGTGCTTAGTGCCAGTGCCTGGCACATTACAGACAGTCAGTGCATTGGTTGGTTGCACAAAGTTTACCTTACAGTCATGTGATGCACAATGACGTTTTGGTCGATGGCAGCTTGCATATATGACAATGGCTCCATGAGATTACAATGGAGCTGAAGATTTCCCATCGCCTGGCAGCGTCGCCATCATGTCCCAGCACAACCCGTGACTCACGCGTCCGCAGTGACGCTGGAGTAAACAAACCTATGGCACTGCAGTCGTATAAATGTGTAACACAGACAGCTGTGTGCAGTGCAAATACTGGCGATAGACATCTATGTTACTGGTTTATGTGCTTACTGCACTATACTTTTGGTTATTTTAACGTGTCCTCTTTCTACTTATAAAGTTTGCTGTCAAACAGTGTTTCATGTGAAGCCTCATCTATCTTGCGCTTACTGTCTCTCTGGATGGCATCATTTTCTCGTGGGCTTGATTTAATCTCGCGCTGTTCTGTGCAGTAACACGCTGTGGAGGCTTTAGCCTAGCAGCAGTGATATAGCGTAGGTATGCAAGAGCCTGTACCTTCTAGGTTTGTGTAACGACATTCTGGGATGTTTGCAAAATGAAAAAATGGCCTAATGATGCGTCTTTCAGACTGTATCCCGGACATGACTGTACATAGTACCTGAGTTTTGGAATCATCGTTAAATAATGTTAGAGAACTGACTTGACAACACAGCTGCTCTGTTTGCTTCCCTTGGGGGTAAACATGTCCCAGGTCTGGAGGACTCGGACACAAACTAAGCACAAAGCCGCACACTGTAACTAGCAAGGTCGGCTCTGCCCACCAGGAGGCAGCACATGGCAGGGAATCAACTCACCGATCAGAAGCCAGTAGTTCCTCAAGTAGTTGAGCTTGTTCTTCCCTTTGAGCCCGGGGTTCAACTTTAGATCCGTGCTGGGTGTGATCACACACTCTCCTTTGTCCCCAATGGTGACACCGTCAGTCTGGGGGCCTTCCAGCAAAGGAAGGGTCCTGCCTCGGGGCTGTGGAGACACAACTGAAGTGAGGCCTGGGCAGCCCTCGCAGGTGAGCAGGCCTTCCCTTCCGGTGACTGTCCTAAGGGACTGTCCTACCTCCGGTTGGGGCTGGTTCAAGACAGTCAGAGCAAGACACAAAGTCCGAGGGACAGCAGGGAAGGCTCCCCCTCAGGGTGGGAAATGCTGTGCTGAGGTCTTTAACATGGACACCTTTTCAAATGCTTTTGTCTAGGAACTGCGAACAGGAAGGTTGTGTGTGGAGTTCCAAGCGGCTACTGTGAGCAGCAGTGTAAGGGAAGGAGAATGCCAAGGCACGAGCAATCCACAATCCGGGCACCTGACCAGGTGGAGTAAGCGCCCCCAACGAGCCGGCTGCTGGCTCGGGCCCTGCTGGACTTCACGGGAGCCGCTGACCAACTCGCCTCACTAGAAAGACAAGTGACGCCAACCAAGCACCTCAAACACCAAATGAGCAGCCAGGATCGCGAGGCCTCAGACGTCCAGAGACGGAGCACTGTCCAGGTCAGGAAAGAATACAAAGGATCTGAGTAGCGAAAAGGAGGAAGGGGAGGGCCGGAGTGTGAGGTGCAGCCTGAACAAAGGCTAAGAGAGAAGGACAGGGAACTTCTGAGATCGGTGAGAAGACGCATGGGTTGGACCCAGCGGTGGGGAGGACGGCCCCGAGGGACGGGGTGAGGAGAGCTGTAACCACGGGCGGGGCTTAGGCTTCAACACCAGGCAAAGGGGGTGACCAGGGCCTCCCGGGCCTAGCGAGCTGTTGGCCACGCAGCTCTCCTCGAAAGGAAAAGGTGGTGCAGGAAGTGTGTTTGAGGATCTGAGACCTGTGTCCTGCATTCTTTTTCTTTTTTTCTTTTTTTAAAATATATTTTTATTGATTTTGTACAGAGAGGAAAGGAGAGAGATAGAGAGTTAGAAACATCGATGAGAGAGTGTCATCGATCAGCTGCCTCTTGCACACCCCCTTACTGGGGATGTGTCTGCAACCAAGGTACATGCCCTTGACCGGAATCGAACCCGAGACCCTTTAGTCCCCAAGCCGAAGCTCTATCCATTGAGCCAAACCGGTCCCGGCATGTGTCCTGCATTCTTAACCAACAGATGCTTATACAGGACTCAGTCACTCCGCAAAATGGAACAGGAGCAGTTAGGAGTTTGTATCTGTGACCCTCCCTCTTCCCCCCTCGCAAGGGGACTTACCACAACAGCAACCCCCTCGTGGACCATTGAGGGGGAGGCGTAGAGGCTGGTAGAGTATTTCCCGACATACAGGGTGGGCCTAGGAGGAAAACAGACACATGCATTCCACACTCCTTTAAATTCTGGAGAAGAATCCCAGCCCCAACCCCAAATACCACCCAGAAGAATAGCCAGCTCAACTCCTAAGCATGCTGGGTATGGAGGAGAGACTCCTGCCCTGGCAGCAGCAGAACTGGACTCAGGCCCTGCTGCCACTCACTGCCTGGTGTCCCCATCTGTCCTCAGCCATCCCCATGGTGCCCGCAGAAAGGACCGCACGCAGGGATCGCCCGGAGACTGGCACTTGCGACCACAGCAAAGCCCCCAAGATGGTGGTGTATAATTTAGAGAAAACATCCTTGCATGTCATCTCATTTGTTCTTCTCCAAAAGTTCTCTCAAGTGGGAAACTGAGGCTGAGGGGGGCGGGGTGGAGAGCACAAGCCCGCTGAATCTTAGACACATGCACCCTAACAGTGCAGGCCTGTTAAGTGAATATGACTTACAGTAAAAACTTAGAAGATACATGAAATTGGAAAATGAGTAAATCTCTTATAGTCCCGCTACCTGAGATACATCCAAATTGTACTACCAATAATGTCTCTTTCCTGTCCCCACTCATAATTTTAATTCACTTAATACTTAAGAATTCTGAAGCGCCAGGGGACACCCCCGGTTCTTATATTCTGGGGTTTATGAATGAGCCAGTCTTGGTTTTTATTATCCTCACGGCTTCAGAGTCAACTGCCGAGCCCTGGCCCCAGGGTGTGGTGTGGCACGCTGCGGCAGGACCAGAGAGTCAGGGTCACAGAGGCCCTCTCTGCCCCGAGTTCCCCGACTCACGTCAGCTTGCTCTTGGCCTCCGTCTCCTTGGGGAAGGGGTACTTCCACTTGGTGATGCGCCCCACCTCCCCGGACATGAAGGTCAGGTAGCGCAGGGTCTCCACGGCGACGTTGATGTGCATCACCTTCCGCAGCCCCTCCCGCTGCCACACGTAAAAGGCCACCACGGGGGAAGCGTAGTTCTGGATCCACAGGACATCGCCCGATTCACTGTCCACCGTCACCACCAGCCCGTCGCCATTGGACACAAAATGGGACATCTCTGCACAGATCAGACAGACAAAGCCACGTCGAGTCTCGCCCCGTTCCACAACCACATCCTCATGTCCCGGCAGGCTGCGGCCACTCAGCTAGAGGAAACGAGGGCTCTGGAGAGTTCTCCGAGCTCCCCGAACAGTTCCGCTCGTTTCTAAGGAGCTCGCTCAGGCTCTCCCACAGCCACACCAGGAGCCGCCTGGTTTGAGAGCCTAAGACAGGGTCACCCTCTGGAAGGCGAGTTACTGGGTGACGCTCGTCAGCATTCCAATCTCTTAGTGAGGAAAAATGCTGATCAGAAAGGAGCCAATGGGGACACATTTGATGGCAGTCATTTCAAACCTACTGATCAAGCTCAAAGTTAGGGCGGAACACATCTGACGCAGAGCAGCCTTCTGTCAGCCTTCCTGACTCCGGTACTGAGCTGGCAGGATCGGTTTTTAGTTTTCATTGGAGTTGGGGAAAGTTTACTAGAGGAATAACTGGAGGGCAAGCCACATGTAGGCAGTGGGTTGTCACTGTCACAAGGTGATGCTTTTTGCTGCTTCCCACTGGGCTTCTAGCAAGTTCCTTCTGAGACACACAGAGACCGGGCAGAGTGCGCCTTCCCTCCTCTCAGGCTACCTTGCGCTCTTACTCGGCTTTGCCTCCTCGCTTCTCACCGGGACCTGCCTTCAGCGCTGCCTGCTGAAGTATTTAGTACTCGAATCCCATGGGAAGTCCAGAACCTGCTGACCAAGGGAGTCTCAAAAGGAGATCCAGCTTTTCCTCCGGATCGAACCCTTTCCCTGGATCACAAGGACCGCCCCGCCGGCCACGCCCCCGGGGTACTCACTGTAGTCCACGTCGTCCTCGGGCAGCGAGGCTGCGTAGTCGAAGTAGGTGGCATTCCACCGGAGCTCTCGGGTTTTGGTGTCGTACATGGTGATGGTATATTCTGAGGACACACACCAGCCCGTTACCCAGGGGGGCCGTGGCACCCACCGAGGTGCTGACCTTATCTAAATTACAACAGACAAGTCCTCCCTGAACTGCCTGCAAAAAGCCCAGGCCATCCTCGCGGAGAGAGAAAAGGCCACGTGGAGAACTGAAATCTCAGACCCAGGAGCGAACCCAGCCAACGGCACGTGGCGGAGACGAGCCATCCCAGCGGTGCCCTCGAACTCAGGACTCACAGGATCGTGAGCAGTATCACAGGTTGTTCTAAGCCACGTAAGCTCTGCAATAGGCAGATGATGTTAGAAATCGGTGCCTAATCAAGTGGAAAGTTCTCATAACCCGAACCCAGAACATGTGGCGCTGACCAGGTGGCAAATGGAGGCTGAAAGGTCGACGCTGAAACAGAAAGAGCAGGAAGAAAACTGCTACTGGAAGCGGAAAAGGGGTAACCCAAGTTATGGGGTGGTGACACAATTACCTAATGGGTCTGCTAACGAGATTTCCACGCAAAATGCAGAAAGTGCCGAATGGCTTCTCTCAACTGCATATGATACATTGCAAGACATAAATTAAAGAAGCAACAATTCGGATTTCAAGCTGAATAGAGAGAAAATATAGAGAGTGCAGGACTGGCATCCAGAAAAGATTCTCAATGTAAAAAGTGGCTTTATGGCAAAGATGAAGGGTGCTACCAGCAAAAATTGGCCCCAGGGTCCAGATCAAATCAAGGGCGAGGCAGTTAGCCCTTGTCGAGAAGCTCAGTTGGTTAAAACATTGTGGTTGCAGGTTCAATCTCTGGTCAAAGCACATATGAGAAGCAACTAATGAATGCATGAATATGTGGAGCAACAAATTGATGTTTCTCTCTCTAAAAACCCATTAAAAAACATAAACTGAGGCAGTAAGACCCTTCTTTGAGACTTCAGAGAGATTTAAGGTGGTATTTCACAGACCTCCTGCTATCAAGTAGCACTTCCTAGACCTTCTGCTAGATAAGAAGGTTCTAAGAATAGTGAGGGTGTGGTCCATAGCACAAAGCAGAGAGGTTTGTGGGTTTGGATTAATCTTCTAGAATGGACTATAACATAGCACATGCAAAATCCATTTCCCCAGTCACCGGTTCTGGGCTGGCTTCCTGACTTGCTTTGACCAGCAGCCTGCAGTAGAAGGGAGGTTCCTGGATTCTGAGCCCAGGCCGTAGAGGCACTAACGCCCACGGTAACTCAAGGGGAGGACCGGCCATCGTGGAGAGGTCCAGGCTCTGTGTGCCGCTGAGCCAAGGCCCCGGGCACCTGAGTGAACCCAGCCAACAGCATGTGGGGACCACTGAAGCCTGTTGAGCCCTCCCTGAACTTCTGACTCGCAGAATCCTGAGCAATAAAGTGTTGGTGCTTGAAGCCGCTATGTTAGGGTGGCTTGTTAAGCAGCAATAGATAATGAAACAAGAGAGACCTTCCTGCCCCCGCAACAGGAGAGCCCACCCACCTTCTACAGGGCCCCGGATCAGCCTCACTCACGCTTAGAAAAGCACTGTTTCCACAGCCCCTGGAGGAAAGTGCCATCTCTTTTTTAAAGCCTTGGCTACCTGAATGTTTAGACAAACTTAGTGCTCAATTGTAATGATTTTTTTTTTTTATCCTCACCTGAGGACATGTTCATTGATTTTAGAGAGAGAGGAAGGGAGAGAGTGGCAGAGATGAAGAAAGGGAAAGGGGGTGGAGAAAGGGACAAGGAGAGATAGAGATAGAGATGGGGGGGGGGGAGAGGAAGAGAGGGAGAGAGGGAGAGAGAGAGAGAGAGAGAGAGAGAGAGAGAGAGAGATAGCAATGTGAGAGAAATTAGTTGCCTCCCATTTGCACCCTGACTAGGGATCAAATCCATAACCTTTCCGTGTATGGATGACACTCCAACCAACCAAGCCACCCAGCCAGGGCTGTAATGATTTCTTTCTAGGTTTTGGGTGTAAATTTTTCCTTCTAAATGTTTCTGTGTCAACTGTCTGTTCCACAATTTGTGTGGAGCTGGAAGATGTCGGGGGCCACACACACACACGATGAATAAGGCAGATCCCTGCAGGGAAAGGGCTCAGCACCCACCCGCCGACTCGCCCCAACATCTGAGCACCTGCTGCATGGCGGACAGGTGCTGGTGGACATACGGCAGGCAAGCAAAGCCAAGTCCTGCCCTTGGGAAGCTGATGGTGTGGTGCAGGAGACAGAAAAATAGGCAAATATGACTTAGAACCAAGTATTAAAAAGAAGACGAGGCTGAAAAAAGAGGTGAGGGGGTGCTGCTGATGCCTTAGAGGGCCAGTGATGGGCAGTGAGCTGGGGGTTGTAACAGGCCCCACAAGGATGGAAGAGCCGTTGTCCCGGGCAGGGACGGGGAGCTGAGGTGCGGAAGAGGCTCACAGCCCTGCCTTTTGAGCGGCAATGTGAAAGGAGACAGGATGTTGGCCAGAGAGGCAAAAACGTGCATACCTGGTAGAGCGGGACCCACAATTCCAAGTTTTTTAAAATAGTACTGCTTATTCTGGGAGCTGTGGAGAGTTCATCTTCATTGGAAAATGTTGAAATGAGGGAAACGTAGCAAGGGAGGGGGGGCAAGAGGCAGCAGCTGCAGGCTCTGTGGCTGCGTACAGATGGGACTGTAACCCTCAGGCAATGGGAGCCACAGCGGGTCTAGAAAGGGGAACCACGTGGTAAAATCTGTGCCGGAAAAGAGCTCTGGCTGCCTTCTCCGTAAGGAAGCCCGGAGGCAGAGACCGGGGGGAGGCCAGTTCAGTCCTCTCGGGAAACAGGCAGGTTTGTGCAGGACAAGAGGCTTCTTCTTACCTGTGCGCCCAAGGTACAGAAGAGAGGTCGAAGGGCAGAGGCTATCTGCAAAGGCCGATGACAGAGTCTGCTGTTTCTCCCCGGTCAGAAGGTCAATGACATACCAAATGTCCTGCTTTTTACCTGAAACGTCACAAGGACACACCATGGTTTACACTCATCCTATATGAAAAAGTATCACTGCCAAACCAGCAGCCCAAGACGTCCTCTCTCCGAGAGTCAGGCCATTATCTTGCCACCCTGCTCCGAGGTGGAATGGTAACGTGGAGATAATAAAAGGAACGACTGGGCCACAGTGTCTCATAATAACAGAGAAACCTAATCAAGTATAAAAATTTCTCCGAACCTAGTAACTCATATCGTCCTGCTTTGATTAGTGGCCTTAAATACTACAAGTCTGGCCTGGAAAGGGCAAGGTTTTCCCTACAGACTAGGAGGATCTATATAAATCCCGAAGGGCACCCAACGGCTCAGTGCGCTGCTAACCGTCATCCCTGTATCTCAACCTCCCTACTGAGGCGCTCACGTGGAAGAGGATCTAGAGCGACTGTTTCTGACTCTGATCAGCTGGTGCCTGTCACTGGGCAGTGGAGCTGGTTGCAACCTGGTGCTAATGACATCAGTGTCTCAGCCAGGAAGTGATTCCCAGCCACGGGCTACACCTCTCACCTCGGTCAGCTGATTCAAAGATATGATCAGGCGGACAGCATAGCCAACCAACTCTTAGGAAAACTCAGAGATGTGCATCTACAGTACACGCACTAGAGCATGATGGGAATGATGAGTCCGCAGCATGGGCCTCCCACCTGAAGATCAACACATTCACTACGAAGTGTATGCATCTCTTCCTAACTTACTGGCCAAGCTTCCTATTTCCTAAGGGACTCTCAGAAGCTGTGCTGAGCTGCCAGGGAGAGCCCCGGGTATTCACATTTGCTAAGGCTGTGCTGAGCTCTAACAGATGTGGCATCCATGCCAAGTCCACATGTGTGACACGTGTCCACGGGTCCTAACTTTCTGTTCTCAGCAACAAATTGCAATATGAAAAAGGTCCGAAGACAGAGTGAAAACATCCCCCAACAGCTGTGACCGTGGTCCCTTTCCAGCTGGCACGCGCCTCTCTGGTGACTTCGAGGACCACTGCAGTCTCCATAACCCAGCACCACTTTCATGGATGAACAGGACAACTGCCACACTTTTATTTATTTATTTATTTTTTATATATTTTATTGATTTTGTACAGAGAGGAAGGGAGATAGAGAATTAGAAACATCCATGAGAGAGAGTCATCGATCAGCTACCTCTTGGACACCCCCTACTGGGGATATGCCCGCAACCAAGGTACATGCCCTCGACTGGAATCGAACCCGGGACCCTTCAGTCCCCAAGCCGACGCTCTATCCATTGAGCCAAACCGGTTTCGGCAACTGCCACACTTTTAGACGTGCGTAAAGGACTCACTCAAGAGGCACCACCCAAAGGGGATGGGACCACAATATCCTAAGTGCAGCCTAAGTGACGAATCGCTGGAAGGCCAAATAGAAACCAGTGATACGATGGCCAGAAGGTGCTCAGAGGGGCTGGGGCATGGTGCAGAGGAGAGAAAGCTTGGGTTGGTCACTTCCCCAATTCCCTCGCTGGGGGCAGGTCCTCACTCTGAAGGTGTGGAAGGAAGCCAGAGCCCAGTCCCTAGCACAAACTTACTGTTGGGCTCAGAAATACACACACAGGCCCCCCCTCCCCCCCCGCCCCCGGCATGAATAGGCACTGAGCACTTTCAGTTCCTCCAGAAACTGGTGTATAAATACAGGGTATTATTACGACTACTGTTTCAAGATAAATACAGCTCTCCTTTGTGTAACAAATGCATTTTTATTGACATCCTGGCAGCAACATGGTAAAGGAAAGCAGGTGATCCGATGCTTTGGGAGATGTGGCCCCTGTGGGTGTTAAGCCCGGTTTTTAGCCAATATTCTGATAGCAGGAAATACTGAGACAGCCCCATAATGAATAGGCCAGAGCCTGGCTCCCCTTTCTTGGCTCACACCATTGTATTCACTTAAAATTTCGTCCCATTGGTTCTGGGTATGTTGCAATCTTTAAATCGCAGGGGTAGGTCAACACGCAGCTAAAAGCTTGTTAAATGAGTAACCATATTAATGGCGTGGAGTCTGTTCCCAAGTGGGGGAGCCCTTTCTTAATTGTTCAGCTGATCCAGGCACGAACAAGCCCAACCCAGGCAGGAAAGAGCTTTCCCAGAAGGGCTGGCGAGGGGACTGCACACCTCTCTCTCAGAGACGCCACCTGCCCAGCTCCTGGCTCATTTCCAAAGAGCTCAAAGTTTCAGCGCGGGAAACAGGAACTCTTACCCATGTAGAGAATCCCATCTGAACTTCGGCATGGCGACGCCTGTACCAACTCCGGGATGGTAAAGGGAAGTTTCTTTAAAAAAAAAAAAAAGGGGGGGGGGGTAAAGGGAAAAATAAGTTAACCAAGTCTTATGCAATTTCTACAATTTTCACAGTATACTCTGTTTGTTACCCAATTCTGCTAAAAAGAGAGGAACATTGTTGATGGCAGATGGGCGTTTTCCTAATTGGAGACCAAGGAGCAGGGGTGCCCTAGGCTTCCAGATCCATTTTGGATAAGCCCTCGGCTCCCAGGTGCCTGGCCCCAGAAACACTAACTCCTTTACTCCACGGACCCCCCAAAGTCCTTTCCGGGGCACTCCTGGGGGCGACACAGACCTTTTTTTGAAAAGACTCACACAAAAATGGAGAGTTACACAATCTCTGAAATTCTAAGGAAGAATTCGCCCGTCTTGGAAAACTGGCCCAGAGCCAGCTAAGACTGAGTAGCATGCCATGAGAGTGAGAGTTAGCCATGAGATTAGTTCTGAAGAACAGCAATCTCCATGCCCAGAAGGAGCTTCGAGAAAAAGAAGTCATCATTACGTGGGCAACATTGGAGCCTGAAGTGGAAGAGAAGTTTTGATTTTCTCTTCAGTAAATAATTCCCTACGGAGGAAGAGAAGACAAGCCGGACCTTTTGGTATTAAAAGGAAGTCGAGGTAAGTGCCAGGAAAAGAAACTCAGAGGAATCCACATTGTTTCAGCTGCATTTCATCATAAAACCGATTCCGCCGAGCCTCCAGCTGACATCTGATGAGGCCTTTTGGTGAAGGGTTGTTTCAGTGTGCTTTATTTTTGGAACATTCTGTGTTTTTGAAACCGTTCTATAGATAACTGCCTCCACTATGCTGCCACCTTTTTCTCCACAAAAGATTTCTCTCTTGCTTCAATAAACAGAACTTTAAATAATTAATCACTTGGACTTTCCCATCACCCCAAGGTTTAAGCTAAGCCTTGGAAAAGGAAAAATGCCACAGAGCGGCTGTAATGACTGGGCTTCTGCCAGATGTTTCTGAGAATCAGAAAGTCACTGCAAGGCTTCCAGCCCGAGTCCTGTGCTCTCTGCTGAGCCTCCCGACTCAGGGCCCGAGCCGCTGGCGACATGCTGCTCCTGGCGCCGCTAACCCACAACACAGGAAGGCATCATGTGGGGCGGAGGTCAGAGCATCCTTTGGAAGTTCGAGAGCTTTTCAGGGAAGCTGTGGACTTGGCATGTTCCTTCACCCCCACCCCAGGCAGAGTTCCCACTCCTCGAGGATGAGGGCAACATGACATCCCAGAGTGCCGCTTAGAGGTTCAGAGGAGACAGCGTGTACAAGTCACTGGGCCCGGTTTCTGGCTAACAAAGCGCCTCAGCGATGGAGGCTCTAGTGATGTGGAGAGAAGTGTCGAAGGTGAAACACAGACCTCTAGCTACACAAGGCCTGCCCCTCTCCCACCTGTTTCAGTCACAGGTATTCATCAAATAATTTTAAAATGCCCAAGTTAAGGCCCATAAGCCACCTACAGTCTAGATCAGTGGTTCTCAATCTGGCTGCACATTAGAGGCTTTTTAAACTTTCCACTGAAGCAGAACTCACAATCAGAAAGCTCAGGGACGTGTAGGGCTCAGTGACATTTGCGGCGTGAACACGCCCTTGTAACCAGCACGCAGGGGGCGAACCTTCACAGCACTCTGAGACCCCCTCTTGCCTCTCAACCACTGAGCCACACCGGCTGTGGTTTTTATTTACATTTCCCTAATGACTAATGAAGCTGAGTACCTTTTCATATGTTTATTGACCATTAAGATCTCTTCTTTTGCCATTTTTCTATTGGGTTGTCTGTCTTTCTAAAATAATCCATAAAAGTTCTTTATACAGGGTGGGGCAAAAGTAGGTTTACAATTGTGTGTATGGAAAACAATCTGCCATCCAGATTCTCAAATGGAGATGGGGATGCCATGTGCCCCCCACATGGGGGTAGGCAGTGTTTCAAACTACCCTGCCTTCCATACCAATAGGGCTGAAGTGAATCCTATTACTAAAGGGAGTATTGTACCTTTTCAATGTGTTGGCTGGGCTCTGCTCGTCTAGATTAATATTTCTGGGCTCTGGCCGCCATTTAAAAGCTGTAAAAACATACTGATGCCCAGGTCCCACTCCAGACCACCCGAATCAGAATCAGCTCTCAGGTGATCTCAATGAGCAAAAGTGGGAGATGGCTGGTCTAGAACCTCTGAAGCACAAAGAAGCTAAACACACTCACCGTTAGGCCTTCATTCTGCTTGCCCCCAAGTGTATACAGGCTGCCATCGTTGGGATCCGGGAGGAAGGCTGGCCTAGAAATGAAGCAATAGTATCAATGACAGATCACCGCTCAGAGCACAAAACAAAATACTACCAAAGCCATGAAAGCTATGACCGGAGGGAGGGGGAAAGTGTGTGTGTGTGAGAAAGCTAATTCTACCCACTGCCTGTCCACTTTAGCCAAAAACAAAATATCACTCTGGTGGGTGTATGCTGTACTTGAGCAGGAAAAAGGCACCTGCAACGGGAAAATTATAAATCATCATAGAAGAGTAAATCATCACTGGGTCAAAGCCCTCTGGATGAAGGTAGAATAAGCGAAAAAGACCCAGCGAGTCTGATTTTCAGCTTGCAAGTCAATAACTTCGACAACCTGTCCTTAATAGTGTGGCAGGGTGTGTGAACAGGTAAAACAAATCTGCCTTTAGTGTTCGACACACTTATTTTTAAACCACAGGCAATAAAAGCAGACTGTGAGAGCCTGACATCAGAAAGAACCGGCCAAGGACATGGATAAAGGTCTCTCGGCCGGTAGCTTCCCATGAAGCGGCTGCGAGGTGGTCTCTGGCCAAGTTAACCTGCGGAAGGGCTATGGCTGGTCACACAGAAGCCCGGAGGAGTCACCGGAGGCTCTTGCAGGTGCCGTCCCGCCTTTATTCTAGCACACACCTCTAGCAGCAGGCCACCCTCATTTCCCCTCCATGGTTAACACAGTAAGAGGGAGAGATCTAAACCCTTAAGCCTTCCTGAGGACTTTGGAAACTTAAGTTCAAACCTCAACTTAAGCTCCATCTCAAATAAGCCTTTTTAAATACCATTCCCCCCTTCTCCCATAATGCCACTCATTCCCTCCCAAAGGAACTGCCTATCCTCTCCCCGACACAGGCTTCTCTCATAGCACCTGTAAGACTTTCTATGTCTCTATCATTTTCTTATATCTTAAATTTGTGCACATGTACTCCCAGCAATTGGCTTCATAAATACTGAATAATACAGAAAACGCGTTAAAGGAAAGTACTGAAGCAAATCGGAAAACTTACTCTTCGACGTGTGTTGGAACCTGCAGAACTGGATCTGTGTGAGAGAACAACAAAGGCACCATCAGACAGACTCCGAGATCTCAAGACTCCTGAAGAGTTCCCAGGGCCAATTCACACGTTGTACCGACAACTCAGGTTTGTTTACATGAGATAATGTGCATAAAGGCATTTCAGAAAAAGCACACACAGACACAAATGTAAGCTCTTATGATTGCCACTGAGATTGGAGAGAGAACTGACAGCAGAACGGAACTGCTCTCAAGAAACGTGCAGGTGACTTGGGGGAGGGACAGCGAAGGGAGAACCAGTCACAGCCCTCTTGGACAGTGGGTCAGTGTCACTGTCTGACACATCAAGGACCTTTAAAACCAAAATCATCACCTTGCCAAATGCTTGGAGTGGTACCAGATATTCCCATTCAGAAAAGCAAACCTGTGGCTTAAGAATGAGCTTTGCTGTTGAGAATCTGACTGGATGGGAAATGGGTACAGCCTTTTGGAGCAGCAGAATGGCAATCTTAGAGCCTTCAAGTGTTCATTCTCGTGATTCTCTTTGACCCATTAATCCCAGTTCTATAAAGTGTAGTATAAAAATAACACAGAATATAGAAAATGCTTTCTGTACAAAGATGCTCACAGTAAGTAGCATTGCAAATTATTCAACTATTCAAGAACATGGTTGAATTATGAAATGCCCACCTGGAAGAAAACTAGGGCTCCTAAAAGCGCTTATAAAAACTTAAAACGTGTACAAATCGTTACTCTTCTGATCAGGAGAGCAGGTAACACTGTATATAGAGTATTAACGCAGCTCAAAAATCTTCCATGCACATCGATAAAACTAGATGCAGAGGCAAAGAATGCTAATTGTGAGTTATCTCTGTTGAAAATATAAAGTGACTTCCCCACCTTTTCTCTATTTCCTCAAATTTGTACAAAGGTAGGCATTACTTTTTAAATTGGGAGGAAAGTTTTCTTTCAATGTTCTATCTGTAGTTGTCAAAGCAACAGCATTTCCCCTTGCCTAGATTCTCCGGGCACAAATCCAGAGGACGCTCCGGATTCCTGGGCGGGATGGTGGTGGGGTGAGAGGACGCTGACACAAGGGTGTTGCGACAGAGCTAAAATCCACAAGCAGGAGATGGCACAGTATCTCCAGCATCAAAAAAACTACAGCTGGACAGCCACGCCAGCCACAACTTCAAAGCTGGGGGCGAGGACGGCAAACGCTGTGATGTGACTGTGGGCACAGAGCTCCAGGCTCTGCCTAGGGTGACAGGCAGCTGTCCATTTCTCCCTGTCGGTGGGGATTGTCAAAGAAAGCTCAGACAAGCCTTATCAAATGTTGACTTTGCCTTAGGAGCCCAGCTCCCACATGAAGGCCTACGGTGCTCACAACAACAGAGGCACACATGTGGTCTGTGGGCAGCAAGCAAACAATTCATTAAACCAAACACATGACAGGAAAACTGGAGACACTTCCAGCCAGTAAGCGCATGTTTGCTGTTCCTACTAATCACCTCTCAGTACAACAGACTGATGCAAGAGGCAGGAAATCAGGACCCACAGCTCTCACCCACTGAACCCTCACTGTGCAGTTTACAGCCGGGTTACTGCAACAGCCCTGAAGCCAGGCGAGCCAGGAAAGGCAGGAATGCTGCATCCAAAGGGAAACAATGAGCCACACGGCGGGGCCAAAGGGCATCTCGCTGGTTTGTTTCACTGCTGAGTTTTAACAAGTCGCCAGAAACAAGACTTAGAGGCAAGAGGTTTGTGATTCCTATTTATAAGCCTGTCTTTGTGGTACAGCATCTCAGGGACACGTCTTCAGGGGAAGATTTCCCTGGCTTCCCAGAGCCTGTCCACTGGCCACCTGACACGGAGGCCTCAGGTCCCAGGTCCTGCACAAAGGCACCAGTTGCGACACAGGCTGTCACTGGCAGGAGCCAGGAAAGGATCGGTAGGACAAGGACACCGTTGTGTGAGAACCATGCTGTTTTCCTAGGCTCAGGAGGGGACGCACTCCAGTAGGGGGACCTTTTGGCCACCTTAGCTTTCCCATCTGCGCAGTAAAATAAGGTCCCCGGAATAAACACCTGCAGGGCTCAGGACCACATATTGGCACAACTATTAAGACGGTGCTCACAGAAGGCTGCTTAAAAAAAAAAAAAAAATTGAAAAAAGTAAATAAAATTTAAAAAATTTGAATTTGAGATCTGTTTTAAAATACTATAGAAGCCGAAACCGGTTTGGCTCAGTGGTAGAGCATGGGTCTGTGGACTAAAAGGTCCCGGGTTGGATTCCGGTCAAGGGCATGTGCCTTGGTTGCCGGCACATCCCCGGTAGGGGGTGTGCAAGAGGCAGCTGGTCAATGTTTCTCTCTCATCAACGTTTCTAGCTCACTATCTCTCTCCCTTCCTCTCTGTAAAAAATCAATAAAACATATTTTAAAATACTACAGAAAAAAATATTGTATGGGGGACAGATTAAAAAAATGGCAGCTTGTCAGTAACTGTTTAAAGATGAAAGTGACAAGGGGCAGGCATGTTGCCGTTCTCTCTACATATGCTTGAAATTTTCCATAATGTAAAAGATTAAAGATAAAAAATATTGGGAAAACCAAGAAAATAAAAGCAGAAAGCACCATGTGAAAACATGCAACGAAAGCCCAACACGAAAAGGTGATTGTTTTTATTTAATAATAACAACTGGTATCAGGCAAGATTCTTGTTGTTTTTAAAAAAAAAAAAAAAAAAGAGCCACAAGAAAAGAAACCTGGCCTAACTATTATATACGAGTATAAACAAATACTGCTACCAAATAAGCCTATAGGGAGACTGATAAGGATAAAAGCTGTTGTACTTTCAGAAGGAAAAAAAGGGGGGTGGGGTGGGGTTACTTCACAAGTATAAAAATGGGTATTATTCCAGGGGAAGAGAGGGTATCAGATAAAGGTAAAAATGTCAGAAGAGGAAATACAATGGTTAAAAACTTGAAATTAGGTATTTGTCTCTTGGATTAACACAGGAAGAAACAAAAAAACCGAAATTGCTCAGTGCTGCCCTGGGGGCAGCCACTGGACTTGACTTGATTCCCTGGCGGGTCAGGCCTGAAAAGGCGCCACCTTTATACTCAGAGAAACCTGGTGAGATTATGGAACACTCTTGCTCCTGTTTGTGCTAGTCTAATCCTCCTTTTTAGCTTGAGACGGAAATGAGTCAAAATAGATGTTCACCTCTTCCCTTTGTCCAAGTTCGAAAGGGTAAAACAGTTAAATATTTTTATTTTCAAAAGAAGGGCTGGCCTCCTCGAATACTGTCCAGCGTGCCCCTGCCTCAGGCCTTTGCATTTGCTGTTCCTCAATCCTAGGTCTTTGATCAAATGTCACCATCTCAGAGAGATCTTCCTTGTCCACCTCCTACCCCCCAGGATGCCCCGCCCTCTTCCCTGTTTAATTTTTCTCCGTGACACCGCCTCTGAAGTATAGTAGTATATTTTATTCATTTTACTTAATGTCTAACTCTAACTATTATAAGCTTTGTGAGGGCTAGGATTCATCTTTTATTATCTGCTATATCCCCAAAACCTAAAACAGTGCCTGGCACACAGGAGGGGCTCAATATGTTTATTAGTTTCCTTCCAATTCCTATTCCTGCCCAGCCTGGATAGCCACTGTGATTACATCTAATGATGCAGCAGCTTCGCTCTCTCAGCCTTCAACCCAGAATCTACCAAGCAGCCCCCCGCCTCCCCCAGGCTCTGAGCACTGCTGAAGAAAACTCCACGCTCTTGGAGAGACCATTATACATCTGTGGCCAGCGGGGCCCCATGTCACAGGCGATAAGTCTATCTACTTCCCGGTTGGCCTCTGCTGCCTGTTCCTCACAGCTGGCGCCTCAAACCTTCACTCCTGGGCTCAAGGCCCCCTTCCCTCCACACGCTGGGCCTCCCGGGGCTCTCTGAAACTCCCCAACCTTCACCCTCCACGTGTGTCCAACGCTACCACCCTTCTCTTCGCATCTCCGTAAAAGGGCAAAGGTTTCACCTTCACATCCAGAGACATGTCACACTAATCTATCTAGGCCCTCAAGCAGTATCCCATCTCCAAGGATCGCCAAGTCCTCCTGGCTGCCTACTGCCTCCCCTCTGACCACAGACTGAGCTCATTCTCTTTAGCATGTGCTCTCCTTTCTCTCCTAATGCATCCACTTTACATGCACAGTTCAATGAGTCTTGAAAAACATACACATGCATGTAACCACCCTTACAATCAAGATATAGATCCATTTCCATCCTCCCGAACATTTCTCACACCCATTTAGGTGCAATTTCCCTGACTCCCACACCCCATCTAACCACTGACAGATTGGTGTGTTTGTTCTAAAAGTTTACAAATGGAATTCATGTAGTAGGGTCTCTCTTGTGTCTGGCTTTTTTCTTCCTGCACCACATTTTTGCAATTCATTCTTATTGTTGCATGCCTCAGACTTTGTTCTTTTATTATGGCGGAAGGAGTACTCACAATTTGCTTTACCTGTTGGTGGACATTTGGGTATTTCTAGTATTTTTTTTAAAAAAATATGTTTTTATTGATTTCAGAGAGGAAGGGAAAGGGAGAGAGAGTAGCATCAATGATGGGAAAACATGGGGGTGGAAAGTTGGCAAAATAGAAAAAAGTCTCTGATAAAGGCAACCAAAATTTAAATAATTGTTTTAAACCGGAGCAATCGGGACTGACGGCCTCTCTCTGGAGGTAGCTCCAGGCAGACTTTCTCCCATGTAGGAAGGAATAATGTCCTTTGATTATAGAAGCCACAAGAACAGGCTGCCCATTTGACTGGAGCTCAAGGAACCTTCCAAGATCATTGCCTCCTCTTCCCCAGATAAGCTGATATTTCCGGAACACCTTCTTCTCTGGCAGAATCTAGATGAGCACCCATTGAACTCACTCTTCTTTCTAAAGCACAACCACCTACTGACCCCTACACACCGGTGCTTAAAACCAGCTTCTCTGACTGCAAAACTTCTCCAGGTA